TGATCATCCAAATGTCATAGACCAAATGGAGCAAACAGCACGCAGACCTAGTGGTGGGAGGAAAAAATCCTTAAATAAGAGACACGGGGAATGATTAATGGACTTCAATGTCTGTACACTAATGCACAAAGCATGGGAAATAAACAAGATGAGCTTGAGCTCTTGGTACAGCAAACTAAATATGACATACTAGGCATCACTGAAACCTGGTGGGATAAGTCCCACGATTGGAATGTAATAATGGGGGGATACAATCTATTTCAGAGAAACAGACCAGACAAGAAAGGAGGAGGAGTGGCGTTATATGTCAGGGATGTGTATACCTGTGAAGAGATCCAAGATTTAGAACCTCAAAGCCAAAGTGAGAGCATTTGGGTCAAAATTAAGGGAGAGAAGAATAACAGTGACCTCATTGTGGGAGTTTACTATAGATCCCCAAGCCAAACGGAGGACATAGATGATGCCTTCCTGGAACAGATGGCCAAGCATGCAAAAGGAAGGGAGATACTAGTAATGGGGGACTTCAATTACCCGGATATTTGTTGGATGTCAAACTCAGCCAAGAGCATAAGGTCAAAAAGATTCCTCACTGGCCTTGCAGACAACTTCATTGTCCAGAAAGTGGGAGAAGCAACAAGAGGAACAGCCATTTTAGATCTGGTCCTAACCAATGTTGATGACCTGGTTAGTGGGGTAGAAGTGGAAGGATCATTAGGCGCGAGTGATCATGCTCTTCTGAAGTTTACTATACAGCGGATAGGAGCAGCCAAGCATACTAGGACTCAATTTCTTGACTTTAAGAAAGCCGACTTCATAAAACTTAGGGAAGTGCTGGGTGAGATCCCATGGACAGTAATACTAAAAGGAAAGGGAGTTCATGATGGCTGGGAGTTTGTTAAGAGGGAGATAGTAAAAGCACAACATCAGGCAATACCAATGAGATGGAAACATGGAAGGTGCCTAAAGAAGCCAGGGTGGCTATATCTAAAGAACTTTTAACTGAGTTAAGATTAAAAAAGGATGTGTACAAAAAATGGAAAAGGGGGGAACCACCAAAGAGGAATTCCAACAAATAGCCAGCACGTGTAGACACAAAGTCAGAAAAGCTAAAGCACAGAATGAACTCAGGCCTGCTAGAGAGGTTAAAAGTAACAAAAAAGGCTTTTATGGGTATGTTCGTAGCAAAAGGAAGAACAAAGAAACAGTGGGGTCACTCAGAGGAGAAGATGGTGAAATGCAAACAGGGGACACAGAAAGGGCTGAACTCCTCAATGCCTTCTTTGCCTCAGTCTTCTCCGATAAAGAAAACAATGCCCGACCTGAAGAATTTGGAGCAAATGATTCAGCAGAGGAAACACAGCCCAGAATAACTAAGGAGATAGTACAAGAATACTTGGCTAGTTTAGATGTATTCAAGTCTCCAGGGCCAGATGAACTGCATACAAGAGTGTTAAAAGAACTGGCAGATGTGATCTCAGAACCACTGGCAGTCATCTTTGAGAATTCCTGGAGAACAGGCGAAGTCCCGGCAGACTGGAGGAGGGCAAATGTTGTCCCTATTTTCAAAAAGGAGAAAAGAGAGGACCCAAATAATTACCGCCCAGGCAGTCTGACATCAATACCAGGGAAGATTCTGGAGCAGATCATTAAGCAAACAGTCTGTGAGCACCTAGAAAGGAATGCTGTGATCACCAATAGTCAGCATGGATTTCTGAAAAATAAGTCATGTCAGACTAACCTGATCTCATTTTTGACAGAATTACAAGCCTGGTAGAACGCAGTGGGTGTAGCCTACCTTGATTTCATCAAGGCATTTGACAAGGTGCCCCATGATATTCTTGTAAAGAAGCTGGTAAAATGCGGTCTTGACTATGCTACCACTCAGTGGATTTGTAACTGGCTGACTGACCGAACCCAAAGGGTGCTCATCAATGGTTCCTCTTCATCCTGGAGAAGAGTGACTAGTGGGGTGCCACAGGGTTCTGTCTTGGGCCCGGTCTTGTTCAACATCTTTATCAACGACTTGGATGATGGACTCAAGGGCATCCTGATCAAATTTGCAGATGACACCAAACTGGGAGGGGTGGCTAACACCCCAGAGGACAGGATCACACTTCAAAACGACCTTGACAGATTAGAGAACTGGGCCAAAACAAACAAGATGAATTTTAACAGGGAGAAATGTAAGGTATTGCACTTGGGCAAAAAAATGAGAGGCACAAATACAAGATGGGTGACACCTGGCTTGAGAGCAGTACATGTGAAAAGGATCTAGGAGTCTTGGTTGACCACAAACTTGACATGAGCCAACAGTGTGACGCGGCAGCTAAAAAAGCCACTGCAATTCTGGGCTGCATCAATAGGAGTATAGCATCTAGATCAAGGAAAGTAATAGTGCCACTGTATTCTGCTCTGGTCAGACCTCACCTGGAGTACTGTGTCCAGTTCTGGGCACCACAGTTCAAGAAGGACACTGACAAACTGGAACGTGTCCAGAGGAGGGCAACCAAGATGGTCAAAGGCCTGGAAACGATGCCTTATGAGGAACGGCTAAGGGAGCTGGGCATGTTTAGCCTGGAGAAGAGGAGGTTAAGGGGCGATATGATAGCCATGTTCAAATATATAAAAGGATGTCACATAGAGGAGGGAGAAAGGTTGTTTTCTGCTGCTCCAGAGAAGCGGACACGGAACAATGGATCCAAACTACAAGAAAGAAGATTCCACCTAAACATTAGGAAGAACTTCCTGACAGTAAGAGCTGTTCGACAGTGGAATTTGCTGCCAAGGAGTGTGGTGGAGTCTCCTTCTTTGGAGGTCTTTAAGCAGAGGCTTGACAACCATATGTCAGGAGTGCTCTGATGGTGTTTCCTGCTTGGCAGGGGGTTGGACTCGATGGCCCTTGTGGTCTCTTCCAACTCTATGATTCTATGATTCTATGATTCTAAGCCCAAGAGGCTCAGTGGTTTAGACCCTCTCCCCACCAACAAAAGTTCTCCAAGTAGGAGGATACACAGGGGATGCTCATGGGGTAATGCTTCTGGACTGCTGTTAACAGAATATAAAAAACTATTGGATTCTGGGTTCAACATCAAGGGTCGCCATGGTCAGGCATCCACTGAGAGCCCACAATGCATCGGGGTGCCTATGCAACTTACATTGTTATTGACTGGAAGTTATACATCTGTAGGGCCATGGGTGGCGCTGTGGTCTAAACCACTGAGCCTCTTGGGCTTGCCAATCAGAAGGTCGGCAGTTCAAATCCCTGCGATGAGGTGAACTCCTGTTGCTCGGTCCCAGCTCCTGCCAACCTAGCAGTTCGAAAGCACGTCAAAGTGTGGGTAGATCAATAGGTACTGCTCCAGTGGGAAGATAAATGGCACTTCCGTGCGCTGCTCTGGTTTCGCCAGAAGTGGCTTAGTCATGCTGGCCACATGACCTGGAAAAACTGTCTGCCGACAAACGCCGGCTTCCTCGGCCTGTAAAGCGAGATGAGCGCTGCAACCCCAGAGTCGTTCGCAACTGGACTTAACTGTCAGGGGTCCTTTACCTTTACCTTTTTTGTACATTTGTATGTTCTTTATGGGACGCGGGTGGCGCTGTGGGTAAAACCTCAGTGCCTAGGGCTTGCCGATCACATGGTCGGTGGTTCGAATCCCCGTGGCGGGCTGAGCTCCCGTCTTTCGGTCCCAGCTCCTGCCCACCTAGCAGTTCGAAAGCACCCCTAAGTGCAAGTAGATAAATAGGTACCCCTTTATAGCGGGAAGGTAAACAGCGTTTCCGTGTGCTGCGCTGGTGCTGGCTCGCCAGAGCAGCTTCATCACGCTGGCCACGTGACCCGGAAGTGTCTCCGGACAGCGCTGGCCCCTGGCCTCTTAAGTGAGATGGGCGCACAACCCTAGAGTCGAACACGACTAGCCCATACGGACAGGGGTACCTTTACCTTTACCTTTATGTTCTTTATACTGTTTAACCTACTGCTAATTTCCACCACAGACATAATGTGGGTCACACTGGGGAGGCAGTAGGTGAAAGGGAGAAAGTGTCCCAGAATTACAGGAATCTCTGTTGTTTCACTGGATTCACTAGAAGCCTAGCCAAACAGTGGGGCATTGTAGTGTCTGCGCAATGAGCATTCTGTATTTTTGTATTAGCGAAAATCTTGCGGTGTTAATTGATTGGCAACAAAGCTCCTGCATGAACGCTAATGGATGGAAGGTACTGTCCATGCAACTTCAAAGCTACAAGTCTCATCATCCAGTGTGGCATTGAGAGAAAAACATATAGAGCATATAACCAGAGGAATCTTTATCAGAGACATAGCTGGGGAAAACAAATTAAATCAAATCTGAAAAGGCAAATGGATTTTCTGCAGGGGCAATTTCAAACAGTAATTCACCCTGTGTGTTTTACCACCAGGACCTGCCTAGATAGATGTAGCTCTCATCTCCCAGATAATGATATTTTAAAATATTTAATACTGTATGCATTTTTCTTCCATAATATTGTTTTTTTCTATAATGCCTCCTGTTTTTAGTACTAGCTACAGAAGAAAACCCCTCATTCCTCTTGCATTTACAGTCATTCCTTAATTGTACAACACAAGCAAGATTGGATAGCTGAGATCATCTCTGAGTGTCACAACTAGATATGTTCATTTGGCCTGCATTTTAAAAGGAACAAACAGATTTGTGCTTCCTGGACAAACACATAGATCAGAATGTCATTATCCTTCACATTTTGCAATACTGTTCTTAGCTTTTTTTCCTTTTCTTTTTTTAAGTACCAAAATGTGTAATGCCCACAAAAATAAGTATGTTAAAGTAAAATGCTTGTGAAAATGTGTATTTTATGAAATAATGCCATTTTAGTGCATTAAAAAAAAAAAACCTTGGAAAGAAAGCACATAAATTGATGTGGGACAAAATGTGAATGAACACATGTGAGACAGACCTGGACCAGAAATAGAATAATCTGCCCATCTCTGTTTCCTCTTTGGGGAAGGGTCTTGGCTCAGTGGTAGAGCATCTGCTTTGTACACAGAATGTCCCAGGTTCAGTCCCAAGCAACTCCAAGTAGGACTGGTAATGACTGAAATCCTGCAGAGCTGTTGCCGGTCAGTGTGACAATACTGAGCTAGACAGACCAGTGGTCTGACTCTGTATGGCAGCTTCCTATGTTCCTATCTACAACAAGCAGAGAAACCTGATGTGTCCTGTGATAGGTGAAGTCTGCATCTCCCCACTCTCTTGGCTAGATGGACACATTTCAAGATTGCTCTGTATTTAATGACTTGATCAAAGCTGTAAAATTTGCTGTCTCTTTTTGAAATACTGCACAACACTTTTATGTACCATGCTGCAGAAACGTTTTCTGTAGATGAATTTTAATAATAAAGTTGAATGACACACAAACACACAGTGTCTCTGAAATAATGTGTTCTAACACAGGTTATCAAGAGACAAGGCCAGGAATGGTGCTCCACGTTTGCTGCTCGGCTGCTGCAAGGAACCGGGAAGCAATAACTTAGAAAAAAGCAACACACACAAAACTGCTTCCGCCACTGCCACCCATCAAGGTAAGCCTTCTCCAGGGACGGGGGGGGGGGGGGATTTATCTCCCCTCTCTGAAAATTATTCCCTTGTTCTCTGTCCCCTCCCCCTATATTTGGGGACGGGGGGACGGGACAGATGTACCTAGGCTAAAGCCTAGTTAATCTAGCAATTTAGTTAAACAGAAGTATGGGAAGCTGATCACTCCTGTCTCCAGTTTCATGCTTGTTTTACACAGAAGCAACATTCAGGCCCCGCTTTACACCAGAACTGCAGGTAATATTTTGAAAAGTTAAGGCACTTCTGTTAGGTCTCTGGAAGGGATAGGATACAGGGCAACATGTTTCAGAACCGGGAAAAGTGAACCACAACTTGACACTTTGTCCAACACACTGCTTGACTTCCAGAAAATGAGCAAAAAATGAGGAGCGACAACTGTAGACAAAACCAGGCAAGGGTCAAGTTCCAAGGCAATGAGGGGGAAGTGAACAAGGGCTTAGGCATTATCATCACACCAGAGTCACATTGCTTAGACTACGGGTGCTTTCTAGCTACAAGGCTGAGTGGTTTTGCCTTTGCCCCATCACTTCCCCCCCAAAAACCCCACTCTTTAGTGCTAAATTGGAACAAATGGCAAACCATGGATTTTCCCAGGGAAAAGCAATGGGGCAACTAGAAGGGCTTAATAGATAAGTCCTAAGGTGCAGGACACGACTAAACGACTAAACAACAACAAAAGGTGCAGGGTCTAAGGCAGCCTTCCCCAGCCTTGGATTCCCAGATGTTGCTGAAGTATAAATCCCATAATTTATGGACTGGTGGCTATGCTGGCTGGGGATGTTGTGGGTTGCAGTCATAACAGCATCAGGGAATCCTCTAAGGCTAGAGCTTTATAGGACTTTGCACTTGTCAAGATTGCCCTGAGGAAGGTCAGCTGGTTGGATGCTCAGGCAGGTTGGTTCTGCAACTGATCTCGCATCCCCAGGCCACGGATGGCATATGAGGTAAGATGTCAGGGCCTGACTGCTGGATGTCTGGGTTCGAGACAACACCCTTCTCCAGTTCTTTACAATTTCTCTGTTTTTGTTTTATGCAAAATTGGCGATATGCAGGGCTAGTTTGACTTGCAGCCTCAAAATCCCACAGCAGGCATGGTGTTTATACGTGGACTATAAAAGATGGAGAAAAAATCAGTTTGCAGGCATTGTTCAGCTTATATTTGACCAAATGTCTACATGTTAAGCTACTATATTTGAAATTTAAGAACAGTATGATTTATAGGCGTAATAAATAATACATAACTTCTCCCCCAGAATCAATGAATAAAAAATAATTGCTGTTGCGGTCTAGCCCATGCATTAGCTTCATTACACTGGAGTCGACCTAAGCTTGAAGATTGGAAGTAGCTGGCATAGGGAGACACAATTCAGTGACCTCCCGTGCCACAAAACAAACCTACAAGGCACACTCACACCCCATTCTCACACAATGAACTGTGCAATCGACATGATTAACCAACATGGAATCCAATGTAACTGGCATGTGGGATGGTAAGGAAACCACAAATCCCGCCAGTCTAGCACTTTTCACTGACAAACTATCCTCCCAAGAGAGGATTAAACCTCTCCCCTAGCAAGCCTGGAGACAGCTTTCTGATAAAAGAATTTTCCCTTCTCCTTTTTTTCTTTCTTTTTTCTGCTGGTTTTGCATAGGCGTCAGCTAAATCACAGTCTGCAAGCCTACTGGCCAATTAACAATATGAGATTCCCCCCTCTTTTTCCCCTTGAGCAGATGCTTCCTGAATAGCTACCTCAGCCTGACAGTTGCATTTTTTTTCTGTAGGAATGACAGTTTTAAAAAAGTGAAGAAACACAGCTTGGAGCAGTCCTCCCCCAACCTCCCCCAAGTACGAAGATATAAAGCCATTTAGAATGTAGAGATTTGACTTAATTTCACCCTCTTCCCAACTGGTTGAGAACGGAAGGTGCAAGTGTGAAATTGCTGTTTTTGTTTGAGAGAATGTTCATCTTTAGCATCTCTTGTCAATTGAAAATACCAATTAACTATCAGATGGGGAGATGTCTTTAATGTGCTTATTCAACCAGGTTAGGGCTTTTGGGGGCTATTCCAGATTCGCGAATGGAATTTGGAACAGGGAAAACTTACTCTGACTTAAGTTAAGACAGAATTAATTCTGCAGGCTCCCGATACTTAGAATTCCTCTGCTCAACTAGACTTAATGGGCTTATGGGGAAAGCTCCTTAGATGCTAAAGTGTATAATTTTATAGTGATGTATTTGAAGGTTCTCCTCATTCTGTTGGGTGGAGCCCTGGATCTTGATGCTACCATTAATACATTGGCTTAGTTCCAAGGCTCACATAGCTCTTTGGTAAATATAAGAGCATCCCTGCTGCTTCAGAACAAAGGCCCATCTAGTCCAGCCTCTTGTTTGCCACAGTAGCCAGAAAGACACCTCTGGGAAGCCCAAAACCAGGACACTGAATTGCAATAGCCCTCTCCTGCTGTTGTCCTGCAGTGCTGAGTCAGTTGGAAACTGTGAACACAATGCTATCAAATTCAACATATATGTAAAGTGGGAAACTGCCAGAAGTACAACAAAGTCATTTTAACTTCAAAAGAGGAAACATTTTTTTAAAAAGTGAGGTGATAAAAAAGGGCTGAAAAGGAAAGTCAGGAAGGTCAAATCTCTCCAGAACGCTTGAGGGTTGTTCAAAGCCCTCAAACTTAATAAGAGCTCACACAGATACCAGCATAGAGTAAAAGAAAGCTTCCTTCAGAAAATGGTAGTCTTGCTCAAATGAGGAAAAGGAACTTTGTCAAAAGAAATAGAAAGTAGTTTTAATTCTATCCGTGTTTAATTATGGGGTGGGTGGGTGGGTGGGTGTGGTTTTAAAAATGTTTTCCCCTCTATGTTTTTAGCTATTATTTTTATCTGTAAGCTGCCTTGTGACCCTGTCAGGGAAAAAGGTGGGACTTTGTGCAGAGAACACATAAGAAAATAAAAAAGCTGTAAAGGTTCCTATGCAGTCAATATCTAAGGAAGATACCACTCACTTGGGGAGTATTTACTTTCATTCTGGTTTTAACAATAAGCAGTATTTGGATGGCTTTTCATAAATGCTTCAAGCACTCCACACATAATATTTCATTAATAACCGCAACAACCTTGTAATTTAAGGTCAGTATTATTGTCCCTGTGTTACAGAGGAGGAGAGCAAGTTTGATAGGCTGTTTTTGTGTGCCAGTTCATTCCGTCTTCACAACTTTCTCCTAACTGTTAAGTTCTGCGTTATATTTTGGAAAAAGCCACTTTGGGAACTGTAGTGGAGTACAGTGCAAGTTCCATGCTCATCTCTATGTTATATGATTCGGGGGGGGGGGGGGAATCAATTAGGAAATAATATGGAATTGAGTACCAAACCTTAACCAGAGTTGTTTTTCAGGCAGCCTGGTCAAATCTATGGTACAGTGGACGCTCAGGTTGCAAGTGTGATCTGTGTGGGAGGCACATTCGCTACCCACAGCATTCACAACCCACGTCTGTGCATGCGTGGGTTGCAATTCGGCACTTCTGCGCATGCGCAAAGCACAATTTATCACTTCTGCACATGCGCGACCGCCAAAAACCGGAAGTAACCTGTTCCGGTACTTCTGGGTTTAGGCGGTCTGCAACCCGAAAAAACGCAACCTGAAGCGTCTGCAACCCAAGGTATGACTGTATTGGATTGGAACCACAAATAGAATAGAGGTCCCACCAGGCCTCGGGTGGATCCATTCAAAGGCCCATGGAGCCCAGCATCCTATTCTCAGAATGGTCAGCCATATGCCTATGGGATGCCTGCAAGCAGAGCCCAAGTTCAACAGCACATTCCCCCTCCTGAAATTTCCAGCAACTGGTACTCCTAGGCATACTGCCATCAACAGTGGAGGTAGGACACCACTATTGTTTCCCAACAGATTTTGAACAAGATGCTCAACCAAGCCTTGAATAATGCCTGAGATAAAATGACTTTTTCCCTCATCAAAATGGATTAGTATTGTGCGTGGAGACAGTGGCAGGTGAAATCTAAAGATTGTTCCTGTAGCTGAAACGGGGAAAAGTGGTTTTCCATCACTTTTCATCTTCCCTTCAATACACAGCCTGACCTTCAAATTTCAGCGTCAACAGCGTCAACCTCCAGGGTCAAGAGGGCTTGTGCAGCCAAGCCCAGCACAATTTCAATTTAATGGAAATTCATTGAGGAGTGTATACTTCAATAAAGGCTCAACCTAAAGAAATAGTGGTCAGGGGATTAAGGAAATCAAGCTTTCTTAAAAACAGCAGAGAACACGTCCAAGAAAAAGGGATAGTGATGTCATCTGAGATCCCTTGAGAATTTCCTCTGGCACCAGTGAAGCCTCTTAGCCCACTTCTCACTGCCTTATTTGTCATGGGGTGGTGAGGGTGGTACATTCGACCTGGAAAAGTACGTAGAGCTGCTTTCTTCTCACCTATATGTG